GGTAGCAGCCTATGTTTTGATGTAGACGATCTACTCCGCCCATATATTGATTATACATTTGAACACAAAAGGGCTGTTGAATCTTGATTCTCTGATATTTTTTCTTTCAGCACTTGACCATCGCTGTGCGGATCCAACTGGAGAAATACCTTCACAGGCAGAAGCTACGGTAACAAAGTTATTGCCGTTGTATCGCACTAGAGCACTCCTGATGTTTCATCGATGATTTGATCATAGCTCCCACGCTGTTTTTTCTTTATGTCAGCGATTGATTCCAGAGGCGCATTTTCAACCCTATTGGCCCGTATTGTTCCTGTCCCCTGGTGACCAATATCTTTCAAAGCGATGAGCAATCTAAACAATGTAAAAAAATTGTCTATGTAAACATGAACTGGGAAATCTGTAGGCAATTTGGCCACCAAATTCATAACGACAGATCCTCCAACGCCTAAATCGGGATTAGTGTTGCCTGTGCTAGCCCCTTGATAAGGTATGGCTTGTATAAGATATCCCAGCCGTGTAGCCATGCACCAGCACTTGAATCCGAAAGGAATGGGTTTTCCATGAATGTGCTGTTTTGTACTATGATGGCCGTAGTACGGAATCATTGATTCGTCGATGCTAACTTCGTTATACTAAGGCCAATACTTCATCCATTTTTCGTTTAGTTTCTCCCATAAAGGTCGCACTTTTGTGAACTTGTCCTGGACATCTAAAGCTGCGTTATCAGAAACGTACATAAATCGAAGTATTTGTTCAAATCGACATCGAGATTTTGCATTAGTTCCGCCAGGGTGATAGGTATCGATTCCAGTATCCCAGTACATGCGGTTCCTTGTTTGAACGTTATATCCACTTAGCAAAATTATTGCTAAGACGAGGCGAATTTCTTCTTTGGTAACATCAAAATGTTTACCTTCGAAAACCGCATACCTTCTTGAATTTTCTACAAACAAATTCACAACGTCGTCATCATAAAATAATTCAAAAAATTCAGTAGGCGACCTATTAGTGTCTACAAACTCGGGACGATGGCATTCCCTTCTTTGATATTCGGGTAAATCTGATTTTTTCCACTTTCTTTTTTATATGATCTTCTTTTTTCTTTTTGGCGCAGAAGTGGATGCGATCTCCGGTAGGGGTACGTTGTCGTCATCACTCGACTCCAATCCTATAAATTCTGTTTGTAATAGTAGACCCGATTTGCTCGGCTCGTAGTTGGTTGCCTGTCAGGTGATTGATATCACCTACAAGCGCATCTTCCTCGTCACTATCGCAGTCACTCAACATATGGTTGCTAGGCGGGCATGTGTTGATAGTGCCCTCAACAATGTCATCTTCCGTCTCCAATATGTCAATAATTTCTGCCAAACTCAACCTAAAACAACAAAATAAATATAAAAATATAACATATAAAGTACCAATATAACTGGCAGTAGCTATAAACAATGTAAATAAAATATAACGCATATACTATGAAATTTGAAATCAACATGCAAGTACGCGACCAGCGCCCCAATAATGGGGCGCTATAAATAATGCCTCTAAAAAACTAAATCTCAACAGAAAGAATCGATTTTTATCACAAAACTAACCAAGTGTAAACTAATACATATAACAAACTGCTTTACACAGTTTTACTTATGAAAAAATAATAATAAACTTACTTTTTACTTCTCGCCATCGTAAACACCACACTTGCACTTTTTATTTTTCCAAAAGTTAAAGAAAAAATGGCGCCAACACTTTGAAAAATGTCACTTTTATGATGGTAAAGTGTAAACAAAGCGAACAGTACCATTCAAAAATCAAACCACAGTTTTAGGTTGCCACAGATAATAAATAACGTGCCGTTTTAAAAATGGGGCGGTGAGCACATATGGGTTAATAACATTTAATTACATACAAATAGAGTGTAAATTCTACATTCAGCAGATTTAAATTTTAAAACCCGTCCATAAAATTGTTACTTACTATTTTTGCTTATGTATGACACTTAATAGCTTAATACAATAGTTGAATTTATTTATTTTTTGTTTTGTATACGATATTAACTAGTTAGGTATTAATTTAAAATAACTAGGAAACATTTTCAACAAGAATAAATATTTTTATTAATACAAAACCAATGTTTTTACCAATACCCAATGTAAATAACTGGATACTTTAGTGTGACGTGTTATTACTGAATTCTAATGATATTAGTGCTGTTAGCCTTTTTAGCTCTTATAACCTCATCGTACACGGCTCGCGGCCTGAAGACCGCGAGTTGACGTTATATTATACACGTTTACCAATGCATATAAAGACGTATAACACGCTTTCAGAAGTCAGTACAATTATAACGGCCATGCTTAATGACTTTAATGATCTATAAAGTTTATAGATCATTAAATATACTAATCATTTAAAATTTTCGAAAGTCAGATAAGAATAGTAACATTAAATCTAAAATGAGCGGTCATGTAAAATGTTATCTTTAGTCGCTTGGATATGTTAGGAAACCGACTCGGATATAATTGAAATTAAAATTCTTCAAAATAAAAAAAGTTAAAGTAGGAATGTTTTAATGAAATAAAAAATACATTTAAAATAAATATATAAATTTCATAAAAATATTAATTGTCTAAAAACTTAACCTACTACTACCTATTGTTTAAAAAGTGAACGATGTTTACGAATATAATAATAATTTTATATATTTTGTATTGTAGATAATGTTGCACTTCATACAATGTATGCGAATAATACGAGTAAGAATATTAAAATCTGGCGTTTTATAAAAGTACATTAAATACAGAAATAATTATTAAAATTGAAGAGATTAAAGTACAAAACACAGACAAGTATTGAAAACTTTGATTAAATGTCATAAAAAATTTGTGCCAACATTCAATTATCGTCATATACACCTATAAACATGCATACGCAACTCTAGGTCTTAAAAATGATATACTCATAAATTCGTAGTTATCAAAGTTACACATCCATGCATAATACATAGTATTTTAAAGTACATGTAAGTACATTTACTTTACGAGTTGATAAAACATTACAACTTATGATGGAGTATCATAGATGGTCTTATAATATAGTCATACCACAGTTTAATGATCTTACAGTTGGGAAATGAATGTACTGCGGAGAGCAACGGTGGGGGTACTGTAGGGCAGGGGGCAGGCCAACCTTGTGCTAATCGCACTTCACTGAGTCTGATAGACAATACATGCGGTTGGCGCGAGCGTGTTTAACTTATGTAACCAATTTTAAGTGACGTTTTCGAAAAATATAATATGTTATATAAGTTACTGAGTAAATTTGAATTTAAATGACATCCATGCGTGTTTCCCTCATTTTTTTTTTGGTGATAAAATTGTTTATCCGAATGCGAATACATTACATAATTAAATTTAACAATCGAAAAAACATCTATAAAAAGAAAGTGTCACGAAAATATTCGGCAGCGCAACACTTGTACATAAATATGTTTTTTCTTGTATCAATTAAAAGTGATCTTGTTCTTATTCGTTGTTGATCGTTGTTTTATTTCCATTTTCGTGACAATCCCTAGCATATACGCTGGCCGCGTAAATACGCTACGCGGACGGCGGCATCGCCGCACATGAAAGGCGTTTCACAACTGTAGGCTCTTAAAACTGTGGTTATATACAGGGCGATGTATGCGATGTGTGGACTTACAGACTACTGATACTCTTTCAATTATATTTTAAAACAGGTGTTACTAAGTAGTGTAGCCTCTTTAGTAGCTCAGTTATATGCAAGTTCTAAGTACGACTAAAATTTTAATTTTTAGAACGAATTTAATTTAATATTCGTGCTAAAAGAATAAATAACACATCATGTTCATGTCAGTATTTTTGAAACACTGACTGACAATAAAAAAATTGTCACAAAATAATTATTGAAAGGTTTTGAGAATAGAACATTTTGCAAAGCTGCATACACAAATATTTCACAGATACAAAAATCAATATTTTGTATGCTGGGTAAATAACGGCGTTGGCTAGGACTCGAAACTGCTCTTGTTATATAGAATGGAGACAATGGAATGATTACGAATAATGTCTTAAAAGTATATAATAAATATCGACATAGTCTTCGATATGCTGAGTATTCAAAAAATTGGAGAGGCCATGCGCGTTAATTCCTAAACAAAAAGTCATTTTCAGGAGGCGAGGAAAACACACTACTGTATACTTCACTATTGATGCAAAATTAAATCGCGTCACTATACACGCATACTACAGCATTTACGTTTGTGTTCATTGCATTTACGTATACCATCAAATTGTTTATGTGTAGATACACTGGTACCGCTGTCTACATACGTAAGCAACGTAGGGCGAGGCCTATGTCGATATTTTATCATAGCATACGCATGAAATATAATGTGTTAAATTCTTATGCATAGTTTTGTATATTATCTTCATAATATATGAATACTACATTGTTAAAAAAACGAACTTCTTCAACATCATCCCGTAATGGTTCACCGTTGATCAAGGGCCCTTCAATAGAGGAAGGATTTATCTAATCAACACGCTTGGTAGGTGGACTATCGATCTAAGTGTCAAATAGTTTTGACGCTTTTGCCTGTCGTAGGTATTTTAGATTCCGACTTACACTAGATGGTGATAACGTTATTTATCGAAAGCTTCACTGAAATGATATGCGGTGATCACTAAACTGCTGAAAAAGCATAAGGAGAAGTATTTTATTCAATCTAATGTTTTTGTTAGCCTTGTAGTGCTTACAGGTTAATCAAAGCCACACGAGTGGCGAGGCCCGCAATGTTGGTCATATGTAAGCACTATACATTTTAAGTATTCTAATCAATATTGCAAAAACTCTAGAGTTCAATTAAATTGATCTAAATTATATTACATGCAGACTTCAATTTAGTTCCATACGTCTGGAAGTGTTGGCAGGATTTTAGGAAATTTAAGTTCGTTGCTAGGTAATTCAAACTCTTGAAGTGCTCACGTGGCCTCCTGAATAGGCGTGAACACGTACACGGAGTCGTCCAGCCAGTAGTAGGCCTGCACGAAGTCACCCTCACATAAGTACGGCGCTCTAGACCAGGCCGCGAGTTCGAAACCCATTTCACGCATGAAGCTTACGAACGACGCCACTTGTTCTTCGAACGTTGTGCCCTGGATGGGCAGTCGCTCCAGCGGTTTGTGGTCCGGTGTCACTGGAATGTGATAAGAAATTAAGAAGAAATATACTCGTATATCCTAAGATTTGTACAACGTCAAGATCTCATTGCGATTGGCTTTGAGTTTATCATTATTTCTTTAACCGTATAGTGGCGGTGTAAGAATAGACACTAACCCGTATCATTCCGTAGGTGTCGTTAGTATACAGAGATAAACTGAAATAAGATATAGGCAGCAGCATCTTCCTAAAAACAACTCAAAATAATAAATAAACTCCGGTTGCCAACCTGCCTGCCAAGTGTGAAAACATGGCAAAATCTAGTAGATTTAAAAATCGGGAATCTTGTTTTGAATTCCGAACGATGAGTACAAAAGATATAAAACGTGATCGGAGTTTTGGCGGGAACTTGGCCGTAGACGGATTGTCGCTTCTGTTTTGTCGCTTGAATAATGTTTTGAAGTGGATTTTGATTCATAAAAGTGATGCGATTTTGAGAATTAAGTGTCCATGCGTGTGAACTATTAGAGAAAACGACGAAACAAGTGCTTTGATGTCGATATAAACCTCAAGTTATTTTGATCGCTTGGGCGCCTTATGAACTTAAGTGGCTGTCGTCATCAACTGTCCGCTGGGTTGAGCTGTCGTCATAATCTCCCAAGGGCTTCGCAATGTGACGCATCAGCATATTGTGAAGAAAAAGAATGTAAAAATGAAGATTCCGAAAGAAATGATAGGCTCGGAAGGGCTAGAACCCAGAGCCGTGAAGCCAGTTAATAAAAAATAAAACGTGATCTCGGGAATTGTGTGATGTTAAGGGGCGCCGCGTAAATCAAGCCGTACCGTAAGCCTACTTGATAAGTGTAGCAACTATGGCAAAATCCCCCCTAAGAGGCAATCTATGGGAGAGATTCAATGGAGCTCATTTTGAACATTAACTGTAAACGCGTGTCAAAAATAATAATATTTTAACGGTACATATTTGTGTTTAATTCGGCTCATTCCTGTCCTTTCGTGTAGTAATCTTGTTATTCTATTTACTATCGAAGCGTACGCTTAATAAAATAAACTTACTCACATTTTTAGTAGACTTTAAATTAATGAAAAAATGTTGATTATTAGCACAGGGACTATTTAAGTACATTTTCCAACATGATGCCCTAATAGCCAAATTAAATTTTCAGGGTTAATTCTTCATTAATGTCAATAGTTTTTAAGATAGGTTGCAGAAAAAAGTTACATGTAAAATATTTGTTTTAGAACCATAGAAAGTTAATGTAAACATTAGATTATGAAATAATGACAAACTTTTTCATTTGGGGTTTTATAAATTTGCCTGTATTTGGTGTAAGGGTACAAAAGGCTCACTGTTTATCTTGTATGAAAAAAACCACGGTTGCATACCTATTAGTTTAGCTGCAATTGCGAAGTTTAGGCTAAAATCTGATTTCGACTAAAAAAATTACTTTATACCAAATAACTTGTACTACTGAATATTGCAGAGCAGTACATACAGGGGGGTTAAATCGATAGATACGGAGGTGCTCTAGTAACACCGTGTCTAACACTGACGAAATAAATGAATTATCGATATTAATCATGCACATACAATATTCCTTAAAGCTACTGATGCTGTGGAAGTATTTCGGATAATTAAGTCTTAAAAACACAAACGCAGTAGGATTTGATGACATAACAACCACTGCAATTAAATTATCCGTAGCATACATATGTCAACCGCTATGCTATTTAATAATATGTCTTTTGACGGAGGTGCCTTCCCACATATATTGAAAAACTCAATCGTTAAGCCACTTCTTAAGAAAGGCGAAACATCCGAAATGAATAACTATAGGCTATTGACGCTGATTCTCATCTTCTCAGAAACCTTTGAGAACATGCTGAGTACCTTTCAAGAATTTACAAGTCATCGTATACTTAATGAGGATGAATTTTAGTTTAAACAAAATAGTATAACTTTATTAGCATGTTTCAATTTGATTAAAATAATCACCCATTAAAGAAATGATGGCCTACCAGTTGCGGCAATCTTCCTGGACGCGAGTAAGGCGTTCGATTTCGTGGATCACAAATTGCGCTTACACAAATTAGAAAAACATGGAATAACAGGTAAAGGTAACGAGTGGTTGAGAAATTACTTGCTAGGCGGTCCCATAATGAACTGGCCTGATATAATTCAACGCGACATGTCGCTACATGTTGTGTTGCATTAAATAGTACGTTTATCGTGCACTTAATATAAGAAACATGCATCGACATGAAATGTTTAGTCTTAGTTTAACAGGCATTTGAATAACGAGAGTCGCGTATTTTTTCAAAATGTCGAAAACTGAGTATCGAAGTGTCATAAAGTTTCTGTTTAAAGAAGGTTTATCCCCTGCCCAAATAAAAGAACGATTGGATGGCGTGTATAAGGAGTCTGCCCCCTCCTATAGCACAGTGAAAAATTGGGTGAAAGAGTTTCGCCTCGGGAGAGAAACCGTCGAAGACTTTGGCCACGAAACCGTCGAAGACCTGTGGAAGTGCTCACTCCCGAAACGATTGCTCTTATCGAAGAGGAGGTTCTGAGTGAAGGATTGGTCTCTCTAAGAGTACCATTCATCGCGCGATCCATGAACATCTTCACATGAAAAAAGTGAGTGCAAGATGGATACCGAAACTTCTTTCAGCGGTACAGAGACAGGAAAGAGTGCGCCGCGCTTCGGAGTTTTTGGATCTTTGTGGCGAAAATCCAAAGACAGTGATCGAGCGGCTAGTGACTGGTGATGAAACTATGATCTTGTATTATGATCCACAACGCAAGCGCGAGTCAATGGAATGGCGTTATAAGGGTGAAAAGCCCCCTAGAAAGGCAAAGGTGCAACAATCGACAAAAAAACTGATGTGCACAATATTTTGGGATTTTCAAGGCATTTTGATGGTGGATTTTAAAGAACGTAATACAGTCGTGAACGGCGAATATTATGCTTCTTTAATATATAAATTACGAGACAAGATAAAGGAAAAACGAAGAGGCAAGCTGTCTAAATGTGTCCTGTTGCTCCATGACGACGCCCCTGTTCATACCGCTGGTGTTTCGAAGGATGCAGTTCGTCAATGCGGGTTCACAGAAGTTCAACATCCACCTTACAGTCCAGACGTGGCCCCGTCCGACTATTATTTATTTCCAAATTTAAAGCTGGACATAAGAGGAAGAAAATTTTCAAGCGATGAAGAGTTGCAGGCGGTGGTCTTCAGTCATTTTGAGGATAAAAATGTGATTATTTTTATAAAGGTTTAGAGATGTTGATTCACAGCTGTCAGAAGTGTGTTAGTATTCATGGTGATTGTATTGAAGAATAAAATTGGTTTCGTTTCATTTCCTTAATTGGTTCATAGTTAGGCCAATTCATTATGGGACCTGCCACGTATATGTGGTACTGAGGTTCTCAACCCTACAGCCACCGATGATCCACTCTTCTAGTTACACCGTGTATACATATCAATGAGATTTTATATTTTTAAAAGGAAATGTATTGGCTTTTCAAATATTAAGGCATAGTTTTTAGTTTTTTATAGTCGTTGTACTGACTATACCTACCGAATTCCTCTCGGTTGGTTGGCTATCATTATCTTTTAAAAGAATGGTATCCAATCGCAAGCAACTTCTGCGTTAAGCTAGGAAGTTAGTTATAGATAAGTTGGTGTTGTTGTAGGTTTTCTTGATGTATTATTTTGGAGATATTCTGTATTTACTTAACTGTTACATGATTTTAAAATTTAAGAGTGATTTTTTAAATAGAATAAGGGTGACAAACGAGCACATAGTCACAGTGATGGTAAGTAGATGCTGTCGCCCATAGTTATCTACACCTATCCTCGATTAAGAATCAAAATACAGATGCGGTGTCACTCCTGAGGATTAAGATAAAATGTCTCGTATCCAGTAAAAAAGGTCTCCGGTTCTATTGCATATATTCTATATCATATTAAACACAACAGCATTAAGCTTCCATTCTATTTCACCGGTCGAGCAGACTTATTCATGCTAAAACCATATTACAGCTGTAGCATGGCTCAACTACATTAAATGTTTTGATGAATATATGTGAATATTCCTTTTATTGAATTAATTAGAGTAGTAATTAGTAAGGCGTGGTTGGTGTGTAGTGTGTGGTGGGTGGTGTACCTTCGACGTAGGGCTTGTAGGGCAGCACGAGCGCGAGCAGCAGGCGGCCGTGCGGCAGCAGCGCGGCGCGCGCGTGGCGCAGCATGGCGCGAGGCCGCGCGCAGCGGTCCAGCACGTTCAGCGCGCACACGCACGAGAACTCGCCGCGCCACCACTGCTCCGTGTCCAGCAGCCTACCGTGCGTGCCGTCGGGTGCCATGCACAAACAACACCAGACATTTCTATGTATACTGCCACACGGACACTACAGTACTGATGAGGGCCCTGCCTCTCTTGCCGTTAGTTTATTATTTGTAAACGCGGTTGCTTATAGAAAATTCTTTATTGCACTCAAAGAAATTTTTTTTTTGTATATATACACACTAGCTTGCCAGGCAAACGTTGTTCTGCCCTTTTTGACGACATTTGTCATCATCATTACATCTCTTCACAAGTCCACTGCTGAAAATAGGTCTCCCCCAAGTAATGCCACAAAGCACGGTCCTGAGCCACCTGCATCCATCTACTTCCTGCGTGTCTTACCAGGTCATCACTCCATCTAGTGGGCGGTCGACCTACACTACGCCTACCGTACGAGGCTGCCACTCGAGAACGTTTCTTCCCCATCGGTTCTACGAGCTATATGGCCCGCCCATTGCCACTTCAGCTTACTAATCCGTTGGGCTATGTCGGTAACTCTGGTTTTACTGCGGATATCCTCATTTCTGAGTCTATCACGCAGAGAAACTCCGAGCATAGCCCTCTCCATAGCTCGCTGAGCGACCTTGAGCGTCCTCATACGGCCAGCAGTGAAGGACCACGTCTCAGATCCGTAAGTCATAACTGGCAACACGCACTAGTTGTACAATCTAGTTTTCAGAGTTTGAGTTATACCTGACGCGAAGATGTGTCGTAATTTCCCAAACGCTGCCCAGCCGAGTTGAATCCGTCGATTGACCTCTCGGTCGAAGTTGGACTTACCTAGTCGAACTATTTGTCCCAGGTAAACGTATTCGTCAACAACTTCGAGCATAGTGCACCCAACAGCTACCGGCATAGGTGTGACATGGACATTAAACATGATCTTTGTTTTGTCCATGTTCATCTTAAGACCCTTCCGTTGGAAGACACCATTGAGGTCATTGAGCATAGTGCTTAGGTCCTCCAGCGATTCTGCCATAAGGACTATATCGTCGGCAAATCGAATATGAGTGATGTACTCGCCATTGATGTTAATACCGTATCCTTTCCAGTCCAGTAGCTTGAAAATGTCTTCGCTCAGAAATGCAGCGGTGAAGAATTTCGGGGAAATAACGTCACCCTGTCTTACACCTCTCTGCAGTTGGATAGGTTTCGAACTCTGGTTCTGTACTCGAATAGCCATCGTAGCCCTACTGTACAAACACTTCAGCACTTCGATATTTGGTTATAAATGAAAATACAACTGCGTGGCGTATTTACCGTGCCAGCTACGCCAACGGTGCGCGCCCAGGTCATTTACAGCTAGTGTACCATTTGTAGGACTAGTGTACACAGAAGTACTTGCGTACATCAGGCAGCACCTATTTCATGCTGGTAAGTTGTACACTTCCTTTTAATACGGTCGAGGAGGCCGTTAGATGAAACATGCGTCAATACTTGTGAACTGTTTACTCGAGTTCGATATGCTGAGTAGCTTCCAAGTGTTTTTACATCTCAGCAAAAAACAGTTTTTTTTTTCTTCTCCGTTGAGAGGAACCTCATTTTATAGTAGTAGATTTCATTACCTCACACAATAAAATTTTATTACCTCACGCTGAGGAAATAAATATATCTCATTTCATCACACGTTAGGTATAGTTAATGACCCCCGCCCCTCCAAGATTTCCTGCCTTGTCGTGGCGAAGGGCTTAACAGTCGTGGCTTGGTCACCTACGGTGAACTAAGAGGTACCCACATATCTGGCCCGAGGTGCCCATTCTGGCCACCGCACAGCGGTGAGATGTTTGTTCTCTCCCCCTAGTGTCACAACCGAGACGCGGGGTTTCCGTTGTGCAGGTGAAGTTGGATGCCGCGGGGGGCGTCTTTGTGTTCTGGTGCGCCTTACCTGAGAATTCCAGTACGGAACAAGTTTTAGCTACGGACTTATTGTCCGTATTGTAAGGAACAATTATTTCGAGTTCGATTGTTTTGTCCATAATCCATTAAATTTACAATTTATGAATTTTAAAACACCTGTGCGATATAAGAGCGCCTCCGTAAAGTTAACCCTAACGATTTTTTTAAAAGAACGAAAACAAAGAAGTTTTGGGGAAGTGTACGTGTAACCTTGTTGACCAGTAGATACATGCTCTTACGCCGTACTCACGATTTGTGAGTCTGTATGAATATTTGGTTTACATTAAATAATTCCAAAGTATGCATCCCGTGATTGCGATTATGACAAACCCAAATTTGGTAGAGGAGTGCGCTTAGAGGCGTACAGTTGTAGATTATGGTAGTCCAATTGATAAAAATATCTCACGTGTATCCTTTACTGTTGAGAGCTTTCCTCATAGTTGAGGATATCTCTGTAGCGAACTTGGCGCTGAAGAGGTGCGCGAAGCGGCGGCTGACCTCTCCGTCGCCGGCGCCCACGTCGACGAGCGCGCCACCACCGAACTGCGTGCCCGCGGCACTCAGCAGCCGTCGCGCCTGTGCCTCCGACAGCACGAACATCGAACCTCGACCCAACCAACTGAAATATAAATATACATAATATAATATAAATGTACATAATATCCTATACCTTTAAACGAGCAATTCCTGTATAATCAAAAAAATTTAATTAAACTAATTGCACTCATGATTTTTAATTCAAATAACCAGTTCAGTTGTTTCTATTATGTCAATAAGATCAAAAAATATTATTCATCAGTATGTAATTTGTATCTAAATATAATTTCAAAAAATCCGTCATCCGGGTACTATGTAATCAATTGGGCCTTTTATTAATTCATGTGCACGTTTAAGTTCCAATATTAGACCCATTTGGTATTGTAGTTTGATTTTTATCTATGGTCTATTCCAAGATTAGACCATAGATAAACATCAAATTAAAAATAAAATTTTTACACTTAAAGTAAACGAAGAAAGCATTTACCTAGATACCAGGGGGGACCGTGAATTTGTGGGGTCCTGGGTTAACACTACTTGGGATTCTACCAAATTAATCAAAATAATGAAGTCAATAAACTGTTTTCTATAATTATGTACTCTTATATGGTCTGGAATAAAATTATATGACTTAGATACACAAACAGCAACTGTAAGAAATTATTGCATAAAAAAAGCATTCTAGATGCGACCCGAAAGGTCCACACGACTAGCTTCCCACTGGAAAGAATAAAAATTATCATATGTTTAATATTTTATACAATTTTTCATTCGGCACAAAAAACGACTTGACCGATTTTGCTCAAAATTGAATGAGGTCTAAGTTAAATAATAATGTATTAAATGAAACTGGTCCCACGTCAATATTACTCTTTGTTCTCGAGATACACGAGGCGAAAATTGAATCTGAACATACATACGTACATGTGCACACACGGTCATCCTCTTAAAAACCATACTATTTGACTCCAAAGACCTTGAAACGTGGAGATATGGTGACGTGGAGGTATGGTTCCCACTGGGAAGTTAATTAAAAGGTTATGTGTAGTTATGTTTAATAAATCATAAAGACTTCTAGATTTTTGCGCTGCAAATCCCTTTATATGCTAATCACATTGTCAGTCCTTTGTTAAATCACAATTTATGGAAAGAACTGATGAATTATTTAGTCGATTGTTTAACATTGTCGACTTATATTTGTTTTCTATATACGACATCCTGGAGAAAGAGCGCTCCGCTTCACAGCTACTTTAATCATCTTATCTAACTAATTGTCGAAATAACTAAGTCCGCTACGTTGCATTCTAATATATAAACTGCACAAATTCTCTTGCGAGTGGTTTGCGAAGCGAACGCCGCGAGTCCTAATAACAATAGCGCAATTATTCGCCACCGACGGTCGTGTGGTGGTGGCTGTCCGAAGGTAGATAGCATAGGGCCGCAATTACTGAGGATAAAGTACAAAGCACGCTGCGGGCTACGTCGCGGCTTGGTTCGGCGCTCGATCGCGGCAAATTGCGCGCCCGCCGCGACGTCTTCATAGCGCCTCGGGCTGCAGCGAAAGTGGATAATTGGAGCTAAATCCTACACTCATTAGCTGAGAGTGATCGTCGCACCGATCGATACAAATTCGTCTTCGCCAGCCAAAGAGATAATCGGAGCAGGGCTCGCACTCTGTTATTAGTTATTAGCCGTTGCGGCATATATCACGCACGGAATTATTCGCGGCCGCTGGCGTCCGCACTGCAATTACTGCTGCGTGTACGGACAGCGCAGCGCGCTGTACCTCCGTTAGTTAGTTAGAAATAATTTAACTACGAATATGAATATTTTTTGCTGATTATAAATAATTACAAGTATTACTCCAGTCCATGGAGTAGCAATGGCATATATATATGTCGATGTAAGTTGTTTGACGAGGGACGTAGGATGACGATCGAAGCTTGTTTGGGACGGACAGTGCAGATTGATTGCTTTATTGTGCCGCGTGGCGGTGTTGGCGACACGCGATACATGATACATGAAGTAACTGTGTCCGCGCCTAATGAGCATATACACCGCGTAATTGTTGCCAGACTTTTAGAGACGAGACGAGATTGAGTTGCTACATAAAATCGATTTGGTTTGCATGAAACCATTTGTTAGCAGTCACGAAGTATTAGCGTTTATTGATGACGACTGTTACAAACATATGGTGCAAATTTAAGTAGCATTATGAAACGCGAAATTCGAACGATGATTGGGACACGGTCCAAATGATATCGACACGTAGAACGTGATCCTTGAGTGAAGTCGAAAATTGTGCGGTGTTAAGGGGCGCCGCGTAAATCGAGTGGTGCCGTAGGTGGTTAGGCGGGCGCGGAGTATCTATTTCAATAGAATGCGGTGGCTTGCAACAAGGAATCCGATGCGGTTATCGAGGACGTAGGTGAGAGATGTGTCGGCGGGCGGGCGCGGGCGCGGGCCGAGGCTCGTATCGCGATTGCATCGGAGAGCAAACAAGCGGGCGGGGTGTCGCGCCCGGGGCCGCTCAAATCATATTACCCCCGGCCTCACACTCGTGCCGCGCCACACACGTCATTTGAGTGCGCGTCGCCATGGTGACGGCCCGGCCCGTGCATGATATTAGTACGTGGGCTCATCTCCGGCCGTTTAAACTTAAAGCGCCGTCGCAGCCGCTGTTTCGCGCGGGAAATTAAAATCGGCCCGGACCGGAAGGCGCTCGACCCTTGCGCTTTCGGGGCCGTGTTCGCCCTGCCGCTAGAAAAGTGGTTTATAAATATTCAAATAGTTTTTCAATATCTACAGCATATATTGAGATAACATAGAATCAAAAATTAATGTAAAGGTAGCATCGATGATTGAACGATATCGTTGAACTTTTCATTCTTCGCGTTCTCTTCTTTGTCAAGTGTCTCTTGTAAGGTAGGGAGAATTTTCCTTAAAGGGCACGCTTAGAAGGTAAATTGACGATTGCTGTAGATATAGAACAAATCCTTAACACTGCTCTCTGTTGTCGATTACAAAAGGATTTAATTTTTTTAAATTATTCTAACTCCTGAAATCATATCTTTTTCATTTTTTCTTCAGTACTTATTTGTGTGTAAATAATCAACAGTTAAGGCGAAATATATTTGATATAAAACATCTCCTTGTCTTGGAGAATAGAAAAAGTAGAAGCTATAAACTACATTTTATCATAAAAATAATACAATGAAGTGATCGGTAGATATTTTTGGTTACAGAAATATGTAAAATGAGATTTCAAAGATTATTTACAAAATGTGACACAACGCTATTAATGACATACAAAAAATACAAATAACAGAGTAAGGATAAAGCATTAGTTCATCACAAAAACAATATTTTAGTCACATATATTTATTTTAACTGTGACGCAGAGGAGTCGGGGGGAACTCCTCCCCCACGTATGTAGATAGATACCTACACATTTGCTTTACTCAAAGACATTGTCGCTTTCAGACACCTCATTAGAGCGTCCCATGTGAGCCTACCCACCCCCCACCCCCTCCCCGCGCCCCTGCACATACAAAGGAGAGGGATTCTTTTCCTCAGCTCGCAAACTCGGATGGATAATTACAGTTAGCTATGTACGTACGTAAGATCCCATTTGTTGCCTAATGTCTTTCTTGTCTCGATAAATTTTGGATACACGAAATCCTTTGGGTTATTTATGTTAGATTTGGCATGTGCCATGTGTATTAGAAGATATAGTATGTTTGTCAATTATTGAGAAGGAATTTACGACGTCTTTAGTGATAATAGATTAACAAGCGAGCAAACATTCTAACTTAGGGTAAGACCGCTACCACTTGTGGATCCAGTAACTCACTTCAAACGAGGAAGGCTACAATTGCGTTTTAACCCTCTGGAAACTAAAATTTGTAACCTTAAAATTATAGGCTCCTTAGCTTTAAATGGAAGCATAGAAATGAGTGCACTGCTGCTTGGCGGTAGAAATGACCAAGAGGTACGAACTCAGTCGGATTCCTGGGACGAAGAGCAGCCCTGCCACCCGGTACACATTCGAAACATTTTAACTATTTTGTTGGACTACTATAATAAGAATTTCAAGCTTACGCCATTTATTAAGATAGTTGAAATATTAAATTTGAATTGCTGTGTGGTAGCGGCCTCAGAGAATCCATTACCCCATTTCGTACCGTGGGTTGTAAGACGCGACTACGGGATATTTTTTATAGAAGAGGGACAAACGAGCATGCGGCTCACCTAATGGTATGTGTAGACCGCCGCCCATGAACAACCGCAACACCAGGGGAATTGCAGGTGCGTTGTCGGACTTATAAAAAGGACTAAGCTCGCTTCATGAAGATCCGTAAGTCGCATCGGTCCGGAAAAATCATATATTTAATTGGTTGCTTTAACTTGAAACAACACTTATCAAAACAACACTTGTCAAAACGTGAACAGCGTGAACTTTGACACTTACGTGGAGAGACAAATGTGATAACCGATAATTAACAGAATTATTTAAGTTTAATGTTAAGCGTCAGTTGACACCGATACGTGACGTGACGTGACGCAGAGCTTACTTTTTAAGATAGTGATACAAAATATAACTTTTTTTACTACACAACAGGATACATATTTTATAGAGATAATTCGAAAATGCCTAGCGGTATCGCAATACACCGCGCTGCCTTTTAGGTCCCTCGCGGCGTAGCGCGAACGCGTCGCATCTTGACGCAGCGGCGTTTTATCGGTAATCGTACGACTACCGATTTAGCGTGCAAGAGTGAAGAGTTTTGCGCCAGCAACTTCACGATACGCCTCGCGACGTCGCGATGCGTCTCTGTGTGAACTGACCCTTAAACACAGTACCCGTGATCACAGATTAAATAATGCGTAATGTAGTTGTAGGAGAGTTTTGAGTGAAGGGGGATTGACGGATAGACCACAGGCAACAAGTCAACTACGCAGTAATGTATAAATGTAAATGAAGTCAATTCGCGAAAACATCACTGTAATGATATAATTCTGTAAAGACATTGTTGCGGCAACTCCGACTAATAATCAGCAGTATAAAATAAGGCGCCAGAG